GGAGCTAATTTAGCCATTTAAATCAGCTGTGTTGGTTCGAGGACACATCTAAAACCTGCAGGGACACCGGCCCTCGTGGACTGAGATTGCCCACCCCTGTACACTGGATGGTCTCAGTCATGATGCTATTTTAGTGCTATTACAGATATATTATCAAGTGCATCATTGGATGCTACAGAGTTAGAACCATGTGTAGGTCACATCGAAGTGTGCATGTGGAGGGAGAACTGAAGAACAGCTTCATCAGAATCAAAATCAGAAATGGTTTTATTGCCAAATGTTAAGCAGATTTACAACATTAGGAAATTGCTGCGGTACTTTGCGTGAGACATACTATAAGACAATCACTTAAATAAAAATTAAAAGTACTAAACAGATTGAATGCAAGTGATGATCAGTGCAAAGAAAATTGAACAGGTGCAGAGAACACAATACAGGAGCAATGCAGGCGTATGAAAGTTTGTCAGGAAAAAACTGACAAAGGAAAACTGAAATAACCTCAGTGTACTGAACAGTCAGCAGGGTACAAAATGTCTGATGTGAAGTGTGTATTAAATAATAAAAATTTCCGAGCCATGAGAGGAATAAGGCACGCATTTGCAGCAGTCTGTGACTGAAGTCAGTTACAAAGCAGATACAAACAGACGTTCTCCACACTTTCTGTACAAAACTCCAACTCCTTCTCCACTGCCACTCCTCTCGTAGTCCGTAATCAGGTTCCAGATGAAATTTACACACAAAAAGCTCCGGTTAACAGGATAGACACAACACTCACAGATACACAGGTTCAGATTTGCAGGTTTGACTGATGCTGGTCGCTCAACGATCCAGCAAAGACTAGTGCAGATCAGCGACCGGTGTGTAGATGAGCGCAGGTGTGTGGGCCAGCAGCGGGAGCCTGTAATGAGCATCGCTGCGGCGAAAGAGAGAGAGCGAGAGGGGGAGAGGAAGGAGGGAGAGAGCGAAAAACAAAAACAACTATGTTGCCTAATAGAGAGTCGACCAGCGAGGCACA